AGAGATTGGATTTATACCCTGCCCTTCACTACCCAAAGGAGTCTCAGAGCGGTATATGATCCCCTTCCCTTCCCCTCCCCACAACAGAGAGAAAGCTCTCTTGAGAACTGCCCTTGAGAGAACAGCTCTGAAAGAACTTATGCAGCAGCTGCATGTGGAGGAGTGGGGAATCAAACCCGGTTCTCCCAGATCAGAGTCCGCGCTCTTAACCACAACACCAAACCAGGTGGCCACGGCCAGAGTGCTTTTGCCCAGCTTTGGCTGGTGTGTCAGCTGCACCTGTTCCTGGTTCAGTCACACATAGATACATGGCTTAGTTACACTAGGGGCTGCCCTTGAAGAGTGTTCAGAAGCTGCAGCTGGTGTAGAACGCTGTGGCTAGACTGCTATTTGGGGCCAGCTACCGGGAGCATATGACCCCAATACTACAGCAATTACACTGACTACTGATATGCTCCTGAGCCCAACTGAAGGTGTTGGTTTTGTCCTTTAAAGCCCTACATGGCTTGGGACTGGGGTACCTGAAGGACCATCTTCTCCCATTTGTTTTCCCCTGGGAATAAAGATAGCAGGGTGAGGCCTTCCTGGCTGTCCCACTAATCAAAGCAGCTCACTTAAGTAAGTAAATAAATAAAACAAATAGCACATTCAGGCAAAAACACCTGTTGCCAGTGTTCCCTCTAGGCTGAGTTAGTGTGAGCTAGCTCACAGTTTTTTAGCCTCCGGCTCACACATTTTTGTCTCAGCTCAGGAAGGATGGCTGCAGAGGAAACTAATTTATGCAAATGCCAAATCGCTCGCTCACAGCCTTAATGCAAGGAGCTCACAAGGTAGTATTTTTGCTCACAAGACTCCACAGCTTAGAGGGAACATTGCCTGTTGCCATTACTTTCTCCAAGGTGCTGGCTCCACTTCCCTGACCGTCACAGCATTCAGAGAGAGTGGAGCACAAAACAGAAAAGATTCCAAGTGCATTGTGATTTTCAGTCAGAACACTATCAGTGGTTCAAGCCAATTTAGTTGTGGATTTTGTTGGCCTACCAACTAAGTCATTTATTAAGTAAACAAAAGGGCCAATAAAACTGGTTAACAAAATCCTGTACAAAACACATAGAAGTAACAAAAAACGTTATCATACTTGAATAGGCATGAACTGCATGAAGACTCGGAGATTTCTAGAGCAAAAAGGTTTTGAGAGAAACATTTCCTGTCTGACATATTTACATATCTTGCAGGTCTGAACAACACAAAATCACACCTGAGTGTGATTTAGCAAGACATAATCAATGGAGCAGCAATTATTTTTATGAGGCACTGGGGTTCTAAGTCTGTCTAAGTCTGTTTATCCGCCCTTAAGTCACAGCTGACTGTGTCTATAGGATTTTCAAGGCAAAAGACGTTCAGAGGGGGTTTACCATTGCCTGCCTCTGCATTGCAACCCTGGTATTCTTTGGTGGTCTCCCATCCAAACACTGACCAGGGCTGACCCAGCTTAGCTTTCAAGATTTGACAAGACTAGGCTATCCTGGGCTATCCAGGTCAGTGCAGAAGCCTTATTACCTTCCCTAGAACCCCTGATTTGTAAAGAGAAGGCCTGGTCACTGCCTTAAGCTGGAGCAATTATTGTGGCCGGGTGGAAAGAGGGGAAGGGAACAGAAGACCATGGGAAATTGTGACTGGCACTGGCTCAGTCAGAGGGCTCTCACACTGCTTTTTGCAGCCCACCCCAATGTGGCCAGCTTTAAGTTGGACAGCTCTACATCATTGGTGTGGGGGGAGCCAGCAGACCCGACGGTCCAAGCTCCAATTTGGTCCACATTGCATGTTTAAAAGGAAGGGGCTGGAGGCTGGCTTGACATTCAGAGCAGTCTGTTCCTCTGGACACAAGGTATCTGGCATTCAGTTCTTAAGTGTATCATATGTTTCAAGGGTGCTCCTAAGCATTTAAAACAGATTCTAAGCATAAGACCTGGCAAGTTCAGTTTTCAAATCAATTGTCTAATAAAGGGTAAATGCTCTTCTAGCTTGAGAAATGGTAAGATTTGTAAAACTAGTATTTACAGCTAATAGGTACATAGGTAAAGGTAAAGGTTCCCTTGCTTGAAAGCCAGTCGAATCCGACTCTAGGGTTGCGGTGCTCATCTCCATTTCAAAGCCGAAGAGCCAGCGCTGTCCGAAGACGTTTCCGTGGTCATGTGGCCGGGATGACTAAACACCAAGGCGCACGGAACGCTGGTACCTTCCCACCGAAGTGGTACCTATTTATCTACTTGCAATTTCTGGCTTTCGAACTGCTAGGTTGGCAGGAGCTGGAACTAGAGATGGGAGCTCACTCCATCATGCGGCACCCAGGTCTCGAACTGCTGAACTACCGACCTTCCACAGCCTGCAGTTCAGCGTCTTAACCACTTGAGCCATAAAATCTTGTGCCGTCAAATCACAACCGACCTATGGCAACCCCAGCAAGGGGTTTTCAAGGCAAGTGAGAAGCAGAGGTGGTTTGTCATTGCCTTCCTCTGCAGGGTATTTCTTGGTGGTCTCCTATCCAAGTACTGACCTGGCTTAGTTTCCGAGATCAGGCTATACCATGCTGCCTTCCCTCCATTTACAGCTAATAGTGTGGTTAAATTTACTCTTTACTGGAATCCCAGACTCAGGGCTCAACAAATTATTAGACCTTCTATTATCAGTTTATAGTCCAGATAACAAAGTCAGACTTAAGTATCTTCAACTAATGTCCAGCACCACAATTCACTATTGGCGAAATCGGGCCCTGGTTAAGGTTACGTAAAAAATATATCACCCGATACATGAAAAACAAGCTAAATATAATCAATTAATTCTAACCACAGCAAACACTTTCTAAGTGGTTCACAATAACAACAAAAACCTAAAACAGGGATCCTCAACCTTTTTGAGGCTGCAGGCACCTTTGGAATTCAGACACTGGGATGGCGGGTGCAACCAGAAAACGGCTGCCACAAGAGGCAGAGCCAGCCACAAAATCTCAGAGAGTGAGGTCATGTGTAACTCTGTTAGCAACTCTTCAGTATTTCAGGCAGAAGCTCTGTGTAGCAGGATGGACATATTGTTTCAAAATATTTTCTTGCATCCACACAGCTTCTCTTCGGCCCTACAGTGAAGATTCTTGTGCTGTAGTAGCAGCTGCTGCTGAAGCAACTTTTGAAAAATCTGCACAGCCAATCATATCTCCAATGGCCTATCAGAACCCCCGCTGGGCAAAGGCTCCACCTGGCCCTGCCCACTTTCAAAAAATACTTGGAATGGATCCATGAAAGGTGTCTGTGGGCATCATAGCACCCAAGGGCATCGTGTTGGGTAACCCTGACCATGAAATGTCCATAAAATTAAAGTGGAAGCATAAGATATAATTTCCCTTTATTTAACATGGGTAAAGACTGCCTAGTACCAAATGCTTGACAGAAGAGCACTGTCTTTACCTGTCCCTGGAATAATGCCGCCCTGAGCCCATGTGGAAGGGCAGGATTTAAGTCTAATAAATAAATAAATAACATCTCAGGGAGAGGAATTTCTGAATGTTGGGGCAGCCACTGAGAAGGCCATGTTGTTTATAGATCCCAACTTTGTACCCACATGAGATGGAACCATGACCACCACACCTTTCTGACATACGTTAGAAAGCAGGAAGGTTTATATTAGATTGTAACATTTTTCCTTATAAAACTGTAAAATGCTTATAAAACTGTAAAATGTAAAATACATAAATCAAATAGTATAATTAACCAATAATAAGACAGAGATAAGTCATAAAAATACAAGTGCCTTATAGTATGTGGAATTTCAGATTCTTCATTGAAAAGATTTTCCCAGAGCAATCAGAATAGCACAATAAAAACAACTAGGCATCATCATGGGTTTTGATTTCTCTCCTATCACCAAATTCAAATGCAAGGCATAGAAACTGACTGCAAAGAAAGGTATATCATGATTGGGACAGTTTTATTCAGCATACTAAAGGCCAAATATGCTTTATCTCTTGTACTGAAGGCAATCTGGGACACTGCAACACATGCAGGTGCCCTGAGGAGCTTTAATGTTCAACAGGAAAATTTCACAGGTAAGATCTGCAAATTTCTGATACATATCCAGCTTATGCATCTAATCTAATTTCCCCTGTAGACATTATGGCAACAAAGCAAAAACAGGAAGCACAAAAACATTTGTGACTTACAGCAGCTGCATTTTTAATACTCTACAAAGTCATCCTTTGGCTAGAACGAACCGGGGTGACGGCCCTGCGTCCTGCAGATTCCCAAAGATGCCGCCAATCACATGTCTACTGTCCATGTGATCAGCACTAGCTTGGAAGCAGATGACTTATGAGACCCAGTCTTGTGAGTGTGGGAGGTTGTGCTTGTTACAGACCATGCACCACTCAGGAACAGCCTGCAGAGTGCAGCTTCTCATTCCACCGGCAGGCCTGCAACTTCACCCCCAGCCTAGAGAGGATATTGTCTGTGACTTTAAAGTGAGTAAGCCACTTTGAGCCCTCTGTTCCAGGAGAAAAGCGGCATATAAATGTGCTAAATAAATAATGAATACAGCACTCATATAGTTGATTTAGAAATATCTTTCTCATTTAGCAAGGAATTCATTTCAGTATCCTAGACTACACAGTATCTATGGCTACACTTGGTGCACTTCCCCCCATACAACTAGCGGACAGGTGTCTATGGCTATACTTGGTGCACTTCCCCCCATACAACTAGCCACAGCAAACATTTTTTTGTGTAAAACTAAAAAAAAGTTCCTTTTATCAGCTCCAAAATATGCAACTGTTTCAAAATAAAGTTCTCCAATACAAGCAAACTATATTGAACAATATAATCAATAAGGTATGTTTACCACAGGTGTTGATTGTGGAGCTAAGTGATGCAGCTCCAGTGGAAAGGCCACCTTTGGAAACTGCCGAAACAACAGAAGGTGTTGAGGATGCAGGAGATGATGTAGCTGTAGTGGAGGAGGCTGCTGTCGTTGATGTTAACCGTTCTCCAGACTCCATATCTGCAAGAGAAAAGGACCCATTAATATTTGCAGTGACTGAGAGTTTCAAAGGATTATCAAAAGTATATTCATGATTTCAGTACACTTTTCTAGATACAGGTTTAAGATTACAGCCACAACACCTGAACTCACAGTGCAACCCTAAACAGAATCACATCACTGTACGACCATAAAAAAATCAAAGTCAAAGTGAATGGGTTCTGAAGGATGTAACTCTGCTTTGGAGTGCACAGTAAGAAACTGTGGGGAGCCGCAAAACCCTTCTTGTTGAGTTGCTGTTACAGTTCTTGCCCCCAAACTAGTGAGCCACAGGTACAACTACACACAACATACCTGCTGCTGTGCTCCCCCCTCCATCTTTGTTTGATTCCCCAACAGATGATCTGAGCTGTCAAACCTGACAGTATCAATAGCCTCTTTTATGGGAGACAGAGAAAGAGCTCTGTTAGTAAAACTAAGAGACGTGGATCTCTGGGTTAGAAACTAAAAACAGCTTGCATCCAGACAAGTGTTTCAACAAGCGCAAGGATTTCCATCCATGGAGTATGATTCCCTCCTCCCTATCCTCCCAGTAGCCCAAAATGTACCCCTAATCCTGTTCCTGGGATTTCAGGTGAGGGAAGGTGAGAAACTTGCACTTCATCTGTGGAAAAACTGTTCTGGATCCAAGCTGAGGCAATTGTGTGTGAATTTTGAAATATCCTCTTGCCTATACATTTCAACAGTAATGCAAATTTATAAGTTGTTTCATTTAAGTTTATATGAGGATTCCTAGGACCTAAATTCATTTGCTAATGCACAACTTTTTAAAACCCAGGGATGTTTTTCCCACTTCTATTTCCATAACTTTTAATCTTTAACATAAAATAAAACACGTGTTCAACCCACTACACAATACCAGGGATGTTTTTCCCACTTCTATTTCCATTACTTTTAATCTTTAACATAAAATAAACAGTATGTTCTGATGGAGTAATGCACCAAACCTATTGGACACATTCCAACTGAAAGAGCCTACACATTTGGCCCTGGCAAGGAGCGGACCTGTGGGGTCGATATAATGGATAGATACTGCTTGGAGCACTACAGTATATGTGTTCCTGGCCAAGAGCCAACAGAAAAATGCAAAGAATAGGAAGGGCTCATGTGACAACAAATCATACTTATGGTTTGCAGTACAATTCCTTCTACTACAGAACACCTCAGTTTTTCCTGTATTCTATTTGTGACCTGGATGGCCCAGGATAGCCCGTTAGCATCAGAACTTGGAAGCTAAGCAGGGTCGACCCTGGTCAGTACTTGGATGGGAGACCACCAAGGAACTTGAGGGTTGCAGGCAACGGCAAATCACCTCTGAACGTCTCTTGCCTTGAAAATCCTACAGGCTCACTGTAAGTCAGATGTGACATGACAGCACTTCCCTCCACTTGTGACCTTGCTGATATGATGGAAATAAACAGTATCATATGATTGTATGTGATAAATACTTGACTGTCTCCAATACTCATTGGAGGACCTCATTATAAATGCAAAAATATACAATCAAATCACTAGTACGACTTTCATTCATGATAACGTGAAGTGCATGATATTCAACGGCAGCCTTCAGTCATCTCGGTTTGTACATGACAGACAGGTATTAGTATCCCTCCATCTCCCCCCTCCCTTTGTGCAGATGCCTTCAATCAAACTCCAAAGATGCTGTGATGTCTGAATGCAGGTACATGGATAACCTCGACTTTGCTTCTTTCCTCCCCAAATAATCAAGATTCTAAGCTACACCTTAATTCCAGTCTAGAATCCCAATGTGTGGGAAGGAATTAAACTTGAGTTTACTGAGATGCCTGCACTTGGATGTCACAGCTCATTGGACTTTGACGGAAGGCTTCCAAAACCAAGAAGCTTTCAACTGCTCAGCATGTACCAAACAAGGAGGGAGGCAGCATGAGAGCATGGCTAATAAGACATGTTCCTGCCTGTCACAAACAGAGGTTTGTTGTGACATCTGAATGTGGCTTATATCATGGCTCAGAGAACTAATTTAAAATATCACAAGCAAAAATATTCTTATATTTTAAAATGTAATAGAATTAGATTTTTAAAAATGTTTTTTAGAGGAGATCAGGGGAGAATGGAGTTGCTACTGGGAAATGTTGAACTACTGTATGTTTGAAAAAGGAATAAAAGGTAAATACCAATAACAACCTGCAAAACCCTCTTGTGCATTATAAGCTGAATTGTAAATATAAGCTTTAATGCAGTTTACTAAATGTAGATCAATGTAACTACAATACTGGCATTTATCCATAGTGTCTTCCATTGTATGGCGAGACAGAGACATAAGAATTTTGTTTTTAACTTATGACAAAACCTTAATTGTGCCCACTTAGTTCATTACACTAAACCACAGCAGATGGCTGACACTGGAAGAGATAATCCCTGAAAGAACCATTAGTGAGGATCAGCAATAATTAGACTGTAACCCCAAAGGTTCATGAGACAAAATAAAAAGTATCAATAAACATACAGCTCTCCTATGAAAAGCAACAAGTGGTTTTTTTTAATTCTTTCACTGATGCACTGCCAGAGAATACAATGATCTGAGAAAAATTAAATAGCCTGGTAAAAGATAAAGCACCCTTTTCTAACGATTCCACCCTCCCCTCCCTGTTTTCTATGTTCTAGTTTCTATTCTCTGGCATGATGAAAATTTCTTTCCTTGATTGTGTACTGATGAGCAACATTTGCAAAGAACATGACCATCTAGTTGAACAACAAAGACTAGAGTGCATGCCATTTCCTGAATAGCTAGCAGAAGGCTTCCCTTTCTTTTGTACCAACTACTGTATAAATATTTCAAGGCTAACCAAAATGCACTCAAGCAAACCAATAAATAATGTATTTCATAAAACAAGCATTCCCATCAAATTAAAAGCTGCACGTTCTCTTACTGTCTGGGGTTGGGCCAGCCAGACCGCAGCCAGGAGCTAACCAGGGACAGCCTCACCCCCTCCCTGGCTGTGGCCCTGATGGCCTGACTCTACAGGGACCTGGAGGACTTACCCTACGCACCAAAATTGGTGCGGGAGTTAGGCCTCACTGGGACGCTTGTGGCAGCAGGATCGTGGGCATGGATACCCGGCCCGCTCTCAGCCACAGGAGAGTGGCAGGAAGTGATGGTGGCCAGAGCACTGCCTCCAGAGATATTAGAGCAGGGTGGTTCAGAGCCCAGGAGAGGCCAGAGGGGGGTGGAAGGCCACCAACCCCCAGCAACAGAAGCATTGTTCCACTACAGCCAAGTCTTCACCCCAGCAACAGAGAAGGAGCCTGGGGAAGGCAGGCCCCCTGCCATTCGCAGTGGGCAGGGCAGCTTGCCAGGAGACAGGCAAAGGAAAGCTGGAACCTCTTGGCTCTGCCCCCATCCCCAACAAGGCTCCCACTGGGGAAGGCTTGGCAGGGCCAGAGGAGAGGAAGACCTGGGGGAGGACTCCCCAGCTGAGCCACTAGGGGCACCCCAGCCAGACAGACAGAGTGGGAGCCCAATGGGTGGCCATGGGAGTGAAGGAGCAGGAAAGGGTGGGGTATAAAAGGGTGCTCTCGATAACAGGCCAGGGAGGAAGCAGAGCTGGCGACCCAGGCTGCACTGAGAAAGACAACCAACAGGCAGGAGGACCATGGTGAACCAAACTCCCTCCTCTCCCATTTCTGTGGCCTGGGGAGTGTCCCACAGTGACAATGAACCAAGCAGCGGAAGGCAGTGTTACCTCAGGGGTGGCCGTAGGGCATGACACTTACAAAGGAATTTCAAACTGAGATTAGAAAGAGAGACTGCTCCAAGATATAAAGACAGATTATAGAACTCCCAATCTATCTGTATCTGAAGAAGTGAGCAGTGACTCACGAAAGCTCATACCCTGCCACAAATTAACACATGGAATTAACACATGGAATTCACTGCCACAGGAAGTGGTGGCGGCTACAAGCATGGACGGCTTCAAAAGGGAATTAGATAAGCATATGGAGCAGAGGTCCATCAGTGGCTATTAGCCACAAGGTATAGATAGGGGCTCTGGGGCAAGTGATGCTCTGTCTTCTTGGTGCTTGGGGGGGGGGTCAACAGTGGGAGGGCTTCTAATGTCCTGGTTTAACGTATAGTGTTTTCTAATAATGAAACAACCCCCAACCCCAGTTTAGTGGAATATATTTTGGGCTATGGAATTTTGGCCAGGTTGTTGGGGTTTTTTAAAACCAAGTATTACCTACTTTTAAAAATTATAAATGCTTCCAAAATTAGCTATTTTGAGCTGAAATATCCCTTGAAGAAAAATATAAGAACAGGATGGTGGACCAGACGGACCACTGCTCTGATCCAGCAGGGCTCTTTTGTGTTCCTATATTAATATACTTATCTATTTATTTATTGGATTTATATCCCGCCCTCCCCAATGGGCTCAGGGCGACTAACAAAAAGGCAAATGCCATAACAAATATTAAAACAGCATAAAAACAGTCATTAAACAAAGTGCGGTGCTCTTGATGTTAAATCTTATTAGTCCTTATTAGTCCAAGATGGGTTCCATTTGTCAACCTAACCTGACAGCATACGTTCTTCGGTCATCTAGGCGTCTTCCCCAGGCTGGCTCACCTCTAGATCTAATCCACCGTAGAAGATGGCAGCTCGGTGGTGGCACAGTGGCGGCGCTCTGTCTTACAGGCCCTGCGGAACTGTGCCAGGTCCCGCAGGGCCCGGATCTCCCCCGGGAGCTCGTTCCACCAGACAGGAGCCGCCGCTGAGAAAGCCCTGGCCCTAGTTGCAGCCAACTTGATGTTACTTAATTGATGATGATTGATGATACTTAATTGAGATGGAGAATGATTGCATCACTGAATGCTCCTCTATTTCAAAAAACAACCTGAAAACAAAAAACTGCTGTATTAGAAGAAAGAAAGAAAGAAAGAAAGAAAGAAAGAAAGAAAGAAAGAAAGAAAGAAAGAAAGAA